TTTCTTGGGACGGTTTCAGAATTAGTTTGCCATTGCCTCCTTCCCAGGGCTAAGAGAGAATGACTGGCCCAAGCTCACCCAGCTGGTTTTATGCCTTAGGCAGGACTAGAACTCACAATTTTCCGGTTTCTAGCCGTTCTAAGTAAGGTAGATAATCCAGGCTGTCAATAGTTCTTGGGGAGCTTTTCTGTAGTCCAGCCTCAGACTTGCCGTCTCACTTGCTCTGCATCTGCTGGGATCTAGACTAGCGTTTCTCAACCTTGGCTACTGTAAGATGTGTGGACTTCACCTGGCTGGAGAATTCTGCGAGTTGAAGTCCACAAATATTAACCTTGCCAGGGTTGAGAAATACTGATCTAGACCATCCAGAGCTCACAGAGGACTGGAAGTACACAAAGGGAAGGTAACATTAATCTTGGGTTATTACAGCTTTTTCTTGTGCTGTTTCTCTTTGGAATGTCTGGCTCCAGCTGTCAGGTTGGATGATCCATCACATTTCCATGCAATGTCATCAGTTTCACTTTTGATGCAGAAGGGAAGTCATGCGAGGCAACGTCCTGTACAAAAAACGGCAGTTTTGAAGAGTGGCACGTTTGAAGGTAATTCCCATCAGTCACAGTGCAAGCCTAATTTTAAAAAATGCCATTCTTATGAACGTCCATTATATTTTGCATGCAAGTCAAACATGGAATGTATTAGTTTGTGTCAGTAATTACAAAGCCAGTAATTAAAATAATAAAACTAGGATATGTATTTATTTACTTATGTGGCTGCCCTGTTTGCCAAAGCAAATCTGGGTGTCTAACATAAAATTAAACAATAACCAACAGGAACATCAATAAGAACAAAACATACATTCCATTCATCAGCCTCCTGAGACAGGCACATTTAACATCCCAAATGCCATGGGGGGGAAAGCAGATATTTTTGTGTCTTTTGAAAAGCTGGCAGGGTCAGGGCTAATCAAATCTTGGAGTCAAGGGTGAAGGGAATCAATCCAAAGTGCAGGTGCTACACAGAAAAGACACGCCTCTTTGATTCAGCCAGATGACATTGACACAAAGAAGAGGTCTGGAGCATGACCAGTCGCAAGAGTGCATGGGACGGAAGACAGGGGGTCCCACAAATAACCTGGCTATCATTTGTGTGTATTTGTTTCAGGTTATATTGTAGCCTTTTATGATATCCAACCTTTTGCTTTTGTGAGTTTGGTAGAATGGAGTGGAAAAATGATAGGGGTTCAACATTGGACCTTTAAGCAGATACCTGGGATTTATATCTCCCAAAGTCTCATGTCTGATGTTGCAAATAGTCAAATTTAAAGGGGAAACATGGAGGGGGAATTAAACTGCGAGTTTAATAGTTGAGTAGTGTGAGGTCTAGAAACGTGCTCTTCAAAATGCTGTTTTTAAATCTCTCCATTGTCCCATATTAATAGCCAGATAACACAGAAAGAATCTTATTCCCAGGTTCCAGCTCAGGTTAATTGATTTAAAATACAAAGCCTGGATTAACATGTCATTGTTTCCCTTCCCCGCCCCTCTGACCCACTCAAAAAAACAAAACAAAACAGGATTCATTCATTTTTTAAAAACTTATTTGGTTTTATTTAAACATGGTTTCATTTTACTAAGAGTATTCATGGTAAGTAGTTAAGAAGTAGGTCAGCAAATGAATATTTTGGATAAAGATGGGTCTTAGGCCTGAAAAAGTAAAGGTAACATTTGTGAGATGGACAGCTATATAAAGTTGCTTAAATAAATAAATAGTCCAGAGTTACATAAGTAGTAGTTCCCCTCTAAGGCTATGATTTTTGCCTCTGTATTTAGTGCCAGAATTGCTCAGTTCAGCAAGAGATAAGAGGAAAAGGTAGGATGACATGTTCAGTGTAACGATATCAGCCAAGAAGAAATTTAAGGTAAATAATGTATAAACCTGGATGGATTCTAAATGTGCTGTGATACTGAGATCTCCTTTTTGACAGCTCGAGAGCCAGAACCTTCCGACGCTAAGGAGGAAGAATCTCCTCTTTTGAAGTTGGTATCCCTGCAGAATGCAGATGGCTCCTGGCCTCATGGGTCTGCCCTAGCCACCCTACTAGGCCTGAGTGAGGCTGAAATCTCAGACAAAGCACCAGCCCATGTAAGTTTGTGTAAATTTTGCAGCATAAGCTCCAAAAGCTTTATTCATTTGATTGTTGTCTATGGTTAGAAAAAGCTGTCTCGAGTACATGTTCAGCTGGTTTGAGGGAATGGAGTACAGAATCAGGGTCACAGTAGGCATTCTAAGAACCCTCCAGATGCAGTGGGCATCAAGCCCCTTATTGCAGGTAGCAAGAAAAGGAGCAAGGAATTGTGAGAGTTGTAATCCAGAAAATCTGGAGGACACTAAATTCCAGAGTCCAAACCAAACAAACTGTTACTAAAAAAAACTATTTGTGACATTGACAGAGAGGCATTCTTATGAACACAAGAGGTGTCAAAGTAGGTTGGGGAGACAGGTCAATGCATGCTTACCCTGCCTTTAATCCCTGATTTTGCCATAATGGCGAGTGGAAGGCCACAGCTACTTATGTGGCCTCTTCCCCTAAAACCTTTAGCATCTTACCTTCAAGATTTCATACATAATACGAAACATGTAGATCACTCAACAAAGCTATCTCTGTGGTAGGAGATGAAGTGGAATAAGATGCAGGAGATGGTTGCCCATAACCAGGAAGCTGGAGCGGTAGGGAAGCTGTCTTAACTGAGTTTCACTCCATGGAAAATATAGAGTTGCAGGCATTATTAATGAAACCACGGTATACATTACCTACTTCAATCCATTGTTTTGAATTCTGGACAATAGGTAGCTTGTATTTATGATTTAGCTATTGAATAGTTACTTTTAACCATCATTTGGCCAAGCATTATTCACACCTGCACAGGAACAGTATGTAAGTCTCATTCAATATCTTTCTCACACCATCACTCTCAGGTGGCCCCAGACATATGGGCAACGGTGCTGGCTATTCTCTGGCTTCATTTGAATGCTGCAGAGCAGAAAGATGAGTGGGAACTGCTGGAAGGAAAAGCTGTCCATTGGCTCCAAGTGAATGCAGGTGAGATACTGTGGACAGCTGGTCAAGAGGATCCAATGCTGGGATAAGAAATAGTGGTGTGTGGTTGTCCTTAGCCTACCTTGGGTGATCATGGAAATAGCTAAGCAATATCAGACTTTGTTAGTACTTTGATTGGAGACCACTGAAAAACCTGGGGCTGCTAGCTAGACTGGGAAGTTGAAAAAACATCTTAAAAGAAGACAGTAGCCACCAATTCTGTACTGTTGCCAAGAAGGCTACCTTGAGATGTCCATGAGGTCACCAGGAGTTGAGTTCAGTTCAAGGGAATCTTTATCTTTTATGGAGAAGAGGCCTTGGTGAATGCAAGTCCAGTAGCAGTACCACTTAATGCCATCCTTCTTGTCCATCCAAGTTCTTTGTGAAGTGTTTTTTTGGTGGATCAGTTCCCAGAATTCCCTAGCCAATATAACCATTGCTGAGAATTCTGGGAGTTGACTTCCTGAAGTTTAGAGAGCATCCAGATTCACACGGACTGTCTTTTTGACATTGGAAGATGATGTGCTAAATGCTATTATATTATTTAAACTGAAGTGGGTGTTGCTTGAGCAATCCTGATTCTTGAGTATTCTTTTTCAGGAGTTCAACTGGCTAAGTGTGTGAAGGCTGGTAATGCAGTTCTGAGAAGTAGAGTCAGCCGCCAGGTATTTGAGCTCTGAGCTTACGTTATCCTATACCTGAAACTCGAACATCTGCTTCTATTCTTGCTAAAATGTAAAGTGTTGCATCCCCCATAAAAGCCTATTAGGTCCTGGGTTGTCATTCCTTTGAAAGTATCCGTGCCTTGCTTACAAAACTCACTAAGTTTTAATGTATCACAAATTGCTTTATAGGTGCACTGATATCCAAGCAATCTATGCATAAATGTAGATAAACTGTTCCATATGTATTAAATTGCCAAAAAAATCATCACTTAAAGGAATAAAATGAAGGCTGACACCTCAGCCCTGATATGTCTACTTTAATTTGCAACCTGAAGTCTATAATACAACCTTGGAACGTGAATATGTATGCATCTTCCACTAACTAAAAATTAGAGATACATTCCCAGTCCCAGCAAAACGTGAATCCTGAGATGGCTTGAGATTTTCACTGATCTGAAACAGCAATAAATGCTCTAGTTAAGAATCAAAATCGCAAATCAATGTTAACTGCAGAGAAAGTTTAGGGTTGGTTGTCAGCTTCATTATAAAATAATGGAGGGGATACTTACAAAAAGAGCTAGTTTGGAATAGTGATTAAGGCATGAGGTAGAAACTGGGAGGCCATGAGTCCTGCCTTAGACACAAAGCCAGCTGGGTGACCTTCGGCCTGTCACTCTCCCTCAGCCCTAGGAAGCAGGCAATGGCAAACCACTTCTGAAATCTTACCAAGAAAACTGCAGGGACTAGTCCAGCTATCCGTCAGGTGTCAACAATGACTTCAATGCACACACA